CTATTGGAGACAACACAAGGGCGCAAGTGGGCTGCTAATGATGACGTGGCGTGGTGCCTAGATAAATATCTAGTGGTATCATCGCTTCCCACAAGATATTTTCTATCCTGCCCGTGAACCTGCCCGTTTTAGTCCCATCCACGGAACGTCTTGACCACCCACGTGTATGTCTTGACCACCGCACATGTGGTTTATCCTCATCAGATGCTCTTCGGGCAGTTTCTTAACACTCTCCCCAATTATTGTCACATGAAATTATTATTTAATAAAAAAATAAAATAAAATTTATTTTTTATATAAAATAATTATTAAATTACATAGATACTGATGAGGATAAACCACTATATTGTATATTTTCTCCTCCCCCAAGTCTAGTGCATTGAAACCACATGAAGGAATCACTTGATACCCTATCGTGGATCCGAACTATCTCAATTTTGTGTTCTTTTTTATGTTAAATTTAAGTGGATTTCAATCAATATTTACCATAAGCCATTTACTGGTCTATGATATGCAATGAGTCCAAAAAATATGATTAAATGGTGTCACACAAATAAAAACCTATCACAAAATCATAAAATTAGTCCTTATTAATGTTTAACATTCATGGAAGATACTAGTATGGTGAGTGAGAGAGACTAAGAGGACCCCAAACATGGCTATTATTTTTACCAAATAGAATCTTTAATTTTCGTCACCAAACCTACAAACGATAAATTATATAGACATTACAAAAATAGTGTAGGTGGAGAGTTAAAACTAAGGGTTGATACATGTGGTTAGTACTACTATCACAAATGGATACGTAGGATTAGCTAATTGGGATGAGAAGACTTCAGCTATCTGTTAACTAATGGGACCGATTTGTGGGTAAAAAAATTCTCGGGTTAATGAAATTAGTGAAGATTATAGTACTAGTCAGATGTTTGTCTCACACCAATAGATATTTATGTATAGTAGATATGAGTAATTGAAGTATTTATAGTACATGTATTAGGGCATACTAGATTGCCCTAAGGGCTACACACGACTACCTCTGTACAAAAGTGTAAGATATATGTAATAGTTGTATCTACTTGCAACCATTTTAACTAGATTCGTACAAAAGATTGCATTGTACGCCTAGTCCCAAACATTAAGTAAATAAATATGATGTTTTTCCATATACAACATAACTCCATCCTCGAGAAAAGGACATACTCTCTAAGCAAGTGCAATGTTTAAGGTGAGGTATCGTGACTGGGTGGTCACTGGGGGGCACCATGACTGGGGAGGGGTCATGGTTGCAATACCCCAAGTACCCGCATACCGTAAAACCTTTGCCTCCTTCGTAACCCTTTTTGAGGTAAACACCAGGACGCTTGCTCATGAAGGAACTTCACATAATTTTGATCCCCTAGCCACAAATCTACATGTTTTCACATCCCATATGTTGATCTGGTCATCGACCCCTTCTATCTTACGAGTCTCTCTAGGCCCTAGTCAAACACAACCTAGTGGGAAGCAAGCCAAACACTAGAGGCCTGCTCGAGTAGATTAAACATTTGAAGTCCTGTCCAAAATTGAGATTAACAATTATGCTTGTCTGTCCGTACTTTACAGTTTTCCCTTGAGGATAATCATATTTCTCTATCTCAAGGTGGAGGATTATTATTTTTAATCCCTTAGGTCAGTTAAGCAGTGGTATACCATTGGTCGATTTTATCGCTGTGAGCATTCATTGGTTTTTAGTGTTCTCTAAGGTTCTTTCTTTGAAGGTGGCCCTCAAGATCATAGTACTATGTACCCTTCACAACTCACATGATCCCAACTATAGACATTTACTTCCGAGATGGATAAGGCGGACAAGGTCGAGCTACCATTGCTCCCATGTGTCTCTTTGTGCAAAGATCGAGGGAGGGCACGACCTTGCCATATTAGCTGCCTCTCGAACCTGTTGATGTTGCTCTTGTCTTGTAGACGAGGATCTTGTGCTTGCTACGTTGCATTGCACTTAGATTTTACGACTATGGGGGTGAACTTTACCTTTCCCCGCCATTGTCTATTTTCACAACACTGCTCTTGTCTCAAGGGCAAAGTTATTGTTGCTCAATAGGTGGTTTGACATTTTCATGTTAGGTCGTCTCTTGTCCCTCAATTAGCCATGTGTTTATTGGTAATGAGTCCATGTGTCCTGAATTTATGAGCCATTACAAATAGTATGCATATTTGTTTTTCTTATAAAATTAGTAAATGAAATATTTTAATAAACTACCATGTGTTTTTCCACTTGGGGGTTGTTTGGTATGTTTTTTAGGAGGAGTATGAATTGACTTGTCTAAACTCTTTCAAATCCAAATATGAGATTCAACGTTTAATGTTGTTCATACCTATGTTTGGTATACACAAAGATATATGACTATTATGATAATATATTTGTATATAAATAGCTATTGTGCCCCTTAACCAATTTGTATATATGTGATATCTAAGATATATGAAGGTATACGTGTCATTTGTATGTTAAATCCATTAACCCACATATGAACCATTCCCTTGAGTTTCATGAAATTCATGAAATTGGGTTTCATGACCGGACCATGATCGAACTGAGTTTCGAACCTTGAGCTAAATACATAATTATCAAACATGAGTTTAAGGGGTTTATTCTTCAACCCATATTCTAAAACCCTTTAAACTCATATACCAAACAGGCCCTTGAGGGTTAAAGATTACTTTAGTTGACCTAGGCTTGGGAATTAGGACCAATCATGACTCTCTTTGACATTGGTGTGGTATCCAACTCCTTTTCTTATTAAAAAATAATAATAACGATATATACACCATTTCAACTAGACTATTTGATATGACGTGATCTCGATCATTAACTCAATAGGACCTATTAATTTTATAGTTCATATTGATGTGCTCCATAAAACTGGTACATAAAAAGATGATGTGTATAGTGTGATTGAACATTAAAAAAAAAGAAAGAGAAAAAAAAAACGTTTGTCAAAGGCTGTAATGGGTCATTACATCAATTTTAGCGCGTTTTCTCCACTTCAAAGTTTTCTTCCATTTGACGTGGTTTTGCACTATAAAAGGTCAACCGTTATCCACCACCACCACCACCACCTTTATGATCTTTCCTTGCACAAAATGGCTTCATTTTTTTATTTACTCCAATAGTGGCCGAGTAATATTTTTAAAAATGCTCAAAGTCAACTAATTGCTATTTTTAAGCTTGTAATTTTTTCGGATTAGATTATGAGCGATTTATTTTTTATGAATATTTTAGAGTGTAGATGACATTTTTTGACTGAATTGGAGAAAAAATTACTTAAGATATGTGTAAATTAATCCGAACACTCTTGATTGTTGAAAAAAAACAAAAAAGAAAACTTTCATATTGAGTGTATGATATGTCCCACTTACCATTAGCTCCAAAAGGAATCACTCATTTGTTTTTTCCAAAGAAAAATAAGACTTTCTTGTAAACTCATAGATGCCCATTTAATTAAATATATTTTACTCCTATATGCCCAAACCCGCATGCACCAAAATGTATTCGAAAGAAATTTGTGATAATTTACATTATCATTGTTAGCAAAGACATAAGACTCGTCTACTGATTTGTCATTTATTTTCACTTATTATTGTGTAACACCGATTTTGACAGCATAAGCTCTCATCAAATTTAACATCACTAATATCTTTTATTTTTTATATTAATATTGATTTTTTTGATCGGTTATATTAGTGTTGTTTGAAACAACTAAACATCGTGTGCAAGATCTTTATTACCATAACAAAAATATGCAAGTCTCGTATCATTTTGAGTATATTAAAGGCACCTGAATAAGAAACTTGAAAATAACTTGTTTTAGTTCATATTAGTTAGTGTCAACTATCTTTTTTTTTATCCAAACGTCCCATTTTTAGAAAAAAAAAATAATGGTATCCAATAAAATTCAAAATAAGGTATAATCAAGTAATCCTAAGTTAAAGATTAAAGTTACAACTCAATTAATTTAAAAAAAAAAATTGTTATCCATCTTTACAAGTTGGGAACAATATCAATTTGTTTAGGATTCATCCTAAGTTTACCACATTGTGGCATTATTTGATTTGATCGAGTCATTCAGCTAATTATTTTTTCTTAGACAAGCTTTTAAATCTAATTTTTATTATCATTTGATTCACGATGGGTCTGGTTGGATTCAATTGAAATCCTTAGTGTTTTTTTTTGGTTTTAGAGTAAAAGAAGTTTGGTCTATTTGAATCTAGGCTTATTGAACAACTTTTTAATCAATTTTTTGGCCAAAAATAACTTTTATCTGCACCAAGAAAAAATTAAAATAAATAGGTTTATATTAAGAGCTTACAAGAAAAATTCGATTTTTTTCGAAAACATTCCATATGGTTTCAAAATTTTTTTAACTATGATTTTTTTATTTCATTTTTTAAAACTCTATTTCACACCCAAAAAAAATAACTTTAAACATCTGTTTCACACCCAAAAAAGTCAGCTTTAAATTGACGCAATGGTTCTCAAGGCCTTCCGATGTTTGTAATAGATTAGGTTAATAAATTATATTAATTTGACTAATTTTTCCATATGGTATAAATTTCCTTGCGAAGTCTAAGGCAAACATACACCTTAGTCTTACAACATAGAGTCTCTTGGAAAATATCTAGGACAGTTCACCCCCAACAAACAAATTATTTATTCATCACCCAAAAACTGTGTCACTCCAACATGTGGGGCCCTTTTTTTGGTAATTAAACCCTTGTTTTTATATTACTAACTTTGACAATATTTGACCCTTGTTATGTCATTACATGTATGTGTATGTACCATGAGCGCATCATGGGGCATACCCATCATCATGACCCATGTGATGGTAATAACATGACAATTCGGTGAGAGGAAAATATCATTGCCACGTGTGCAATGTGCGAATCAGAGGAAGAAGAGAGAGAGCTGCTAAAGATCTCTTCTCTCATCTTCGTATCTCTCTCTCTCTCTCACACAGACATTGTCTTTTTTCTCTCCCTATCCTCTCTCCACCCAAAATCTGGCAAATCTCATACAACTAATCTCAAAGTTACAGTCACAGTAGAGAAAGGGAATTTCAGGACACGAGTTTCAAAAAATTCTTATATCATAGCTTCAGAAAATTAGAATCCTCGTATACGTGAAGAGGTAAAGTATCTAATTTTCTACTTCAAAATTGTTGTTTCTGTTCTGTGGGTGTGGATGTATACATGTGTCAGTTTGTGGGGATTATTTATGGTGAATTTCCTTTCCTTTCCTTATTTTTTTTTTTTTAAAATTTTTGTTTCTGTTGTATGGGTGTGAATGTATACATGTATCTGTTTGTGGGGATTATTTATAGTGATTTTTGTGTTGGGTTTTTCTGTGTTGTCATATAAAATCCAGGGAAGATCAAGGGATTCAAAGTTTTGATGTTTGGGTTTGCATTTTTGGGGAGCTAAGAAGGAAAACAGTTTGTGCGTTCTGTTGAGATGGGTTTTCTATAAAAGATTTGGCTTGTTTTGTTTTATATATATTTTTTTCCTGTTTATCTGCAGACAGTGGCCATAGTTATGCAATTTATCAACTTCTCAGTTTCAAGATGTATCAACTAAATTATTTAGAAATGTAGAAACTGGAATCAATAGATTTAGTAAAAATTGGCAATCAGCGGATTTAACAAAAGGAAAAAAGAAAATGGATGATTCTCATTTCTCCTTTGGTTTTTGTTTCTTTTTTCTTGAATAGTTTCTAAATTAGTGGAACTTGGTACCAAGTAATAAATCTGAAAGATATTTGTTCTTTTTACTTTTGTTGTTTCCTAGGCCACCGGAAGGAAATTGTAGTTGTTTTTAGTTACCGTATTCTTTGTGCTATAGTTCCTTGAAGTACCGTGTTGTTCATAAAAAGGTTTAATTCTATATCATAAAAAATGGTGGTATTGCTTAAAAAAATCCACGTTGAATAATGACCAGTCTGTTATTTTATTTTTACCTTCTGATAAAAGTGGTTATAATTCAATATCTCTGTGATTTTATGCTATTTTGTTTAACTAATCCTACTTAAATTTCACAACCAATTTCATTTGTCGTCATTAATTTTGCTGGGCTACTTTTACCAGGATTAGTATTGGTACAACTTTTTGGCTGGTGAACTCTGTGAAGAAGAGATGCGACAACTCTGTGTTTGGTAATTGAATGGTTAAATTCCATGAGTTGTTGTAACTGACTTATTGGGAGAGCCGGCCTGGTGCTTTGTTGGGGCATGAAGAAGTGGAGTTAAGTGTTCTGCTTGTTGATTGGTAGTAGTGGAAGTGGTGGTGTCTAGCTTGTTGGCTATAGAAAAGCTTATCTGGAACAATCTTCTGTTACATGGCAAGTTCATGCAAAAGGTGGATTGATGGCCTTCATTACTCTTCACTCTTTTGGCCGCCACCACAAGATGTTGAACAACGGAAGGTTTGAACTGAACAACCTATGCTTTGACTTTGTGATTCATTCTTTCAGGCGCGTAACTTGGATTGCTATTTTTTTCTCTGCTTCATTGCAAATCAATTTGTTACATACTTGCATCTGTTTCTCTGCCACAAAATTTTTGCTGAATGAGATAGGTTTAAATTCATGTATGAATTACACTCTTTACCTGTGATGGACAGATGAAGGGAGGATTGGCTATCATACAATTTACTTGTTATACATATAGGATAATACATAATGTATGGTGTAACTTTAGTTACATGTTTTGCATGGAAGGTTGTCTGTTATGAGCATTAGACATTAGTTTTCCACATGGGAAATTGGTTCATGGAAACATGCAATGAAATTCTTCACAGAAAAGAAGTTCTTTGCATTACTTTGTGGCACAAGGTTCTTCTATTTGGTTCCTTGTGAGCTTGCTATTCTTTCTATTGCATGTCATGAGAGATCTATGTCATACTTGAAAAACAAGAAGAATTTGTGGTCATTAGTTCTGTATCCAGATTCAGTAGCATTTCTGTTCTATTGTAGTTTCTAAGGAATAAATGTAAAATTACCGTAGTGGTGATTTCTGTTAACTGCTAATTTGAACAAGTGATCATATATAATTTTCTGTTCTTGGTTTTAGGAGATTTTTGTTGTGCTTTTNAAGTAAAATTACCGTAGTGGTGATTTCTGTTAACTGCTAATTTGAATAAGTGATCATATATAATTTTCTGTTCTTGGTTTTAGGAGATTTTTGTTGTGCTTTTACATAGAACAATGCCAATATGTGGGCTACACTAGGTTTTCAACCCAAGTCTATTTTTTCCTTGTTTCTTATTCTCCTAGGCTTTCCTTTCTTTTAAGGATATCAGTTTTTGAGTCCACTGAATTTTCTCATGTTTTCTTTGTTCTGGAAAACAGTTATTCTGAATGTATGGAGATTATGAAATTCACCACCTTATGAATTTGGTGGATGTCAGACTGAAATAAATGGCCCAGATTAAAAGATCATTTGGAGAACATTTCTTAAAAAGGGACTAGTCCCAAATATGCCTTATGTTCAATGCAGTTACATGTTGTTAGAAGCTTATGAAACTGAAAAATATGTGTTGTTTCAAGGGATGCTTTTGTTGGTTTCATTTTCAAACTTTATGTCATTCTATAAGAGTTGTGTCAAAAGTATATTCAGTAAACCCATTTTGTCTGATTCTTTACTCTTTTGTTGATTATGAGAACTTCGGTTCAATAAGATCTTATTCCACGCCTACTTATGGCGCCACTTTTGATTTTCTTCTTTTATTCTATGTTGATATTTTGTCATGTGAGTATGTAGTCAAAGCTCATAATTAACATCCAGAAATGTATTGCTGTGTCATTCCGAGGTCAATGAGCTTCCTGAATTTGAGGCTACGCCCATTTTGTTTTCAAGATTTTCTACACATATTGACAAATGAAATTTTGACCATTTTGTTATTCAGCCATTGGCCTTAATGAAATAATGGTAATTTCAAACCTTTCTATCCATTTTCCTTTTATTAAACCAGCACCAATATTGTTGCTGGTAGGGTTCCAACGTTGAGCAAGTGAAAGGACTTGTGGGGAGACACAGGCGTTATTGATGTCTACTTTTCTGCTGTTGAGTTCTGCTTATGTAGAGATCGCACAGAACACCTGATATCAGCCTTCTGCAGCTCAAGAACATGATTGCAGTAGAACTACCCGTTACCACACCCTTGGTAACCCCCACCAGGACCTGTTGATGCATGTAACTGTAGAGACTGTATAGATTCGTTATCTAGTTTGGATAAGTAACCAAAAATATTATCTGGTTTGGATAGTCCTCCTTAGCTCTATGGAGGATTTATCCAATCAATATTATTTGGTTTGGATAGTTTCATTAGTTCTGTGGAGGAATTATTTCATTATCTCAGCCAGTTAAATGGCTAAACCATTGTTAAAGCTTGTCCTACATTGATGAAATAACAATTCGAATACTAGTATATGAGCCTTATGCGTCTCTTTGCTTATTGCCGATTTGTTTTGCGTTCGAAGCTTTAAAATGGTATCATATCTAGGTTTCAGTGGACTTTTAGATAAAGCACATTATAGCACGGATAAAAGGGATCTTGAGTCACCTCATAAGGCCTCTTCACTCACCCCCAACTGGTTTTGTGTAACAACCATTCTTCTTGCAGGTGTTTCATGGAAAAACCTTTGTTGGATTGCTGTTGCATGAGGAGTTTTGGTGTTGAAAATTCTACCTCTTCAGATCATTTTGTTGTGGAAATTTGTTGATAAAGTTTCAATCGTAATTCGTAAAGGATCCATGTCATCTAGTTAATGTTACCTTCTCTGCTCTAACACCAAGTTTTCATTTTTTCTTTCTTTCGGAGTTTGTCCTTTTTGTGCTGCAGAATCTCATAAAAAGTTTAGACCTCACCATAATTCATAGCATGTGGTTCTGGTATCCACGTGCGTGATTGTGGATCCGTTTTATCTGTCTCTTTTATGTACTCATTTGCTACTCCATGTGGTCAATCAAATCTGGCAACGTTTGAATGGCAACACACATCGTGCTTCATATCAAATCACTACTCTATGGGATTCATGAATGATGCTTGTAACTTATCAAGTCATATTGAGCTAGATATNTGGCAACGTTTGAATGGCAACACACATCGTGCTTCATATCAAATCACTACTCTATGGGATTCATGAATGATGCTTGTAACTTATCAAGTCATATTGAGCTAGATATGACAATTTTTAGTAGGGGAAGTAGAATGATAATGGCTTCAGTTTAATGTGTTCAATGAAAATGTGTTGTATCTTCTATTGATTATTGTTATTGTTATCTATATTTTTTCCACTTAAAATCTTTTTGACTCTTAAGTTTTCTACCCCTTCCCTTTCACTTATTGATAGGAAACCCTTTTCTTTTCCTTTTTCACTTTTTTTGACCTCTTATTTGCAGGCTCAAATTACTGCATATGTTGAGTACTTTGGCCAGTTTACATCAGAACAGTTTCCTGAAGATATAGCGGAGGTACTTCATTTATGCTTTATATCTGAAATAGCTTTCTTACCTTCCGTTCGTCTTTTTGGGGGCGGGCCCTTCCACTCTCATTATCTCTAACAACTTACTTTTCCATTTGGCAATTATAGTTCCCATAATAGATTTTTCTAAATTGTACTCTATGTTCTTTTGACAGCTGATCCGGAATCGATATCCTTCTAAGGAAAATCGCCTTTTTGATGATGTCTTGGGTATGGGTGTTTCTTTCCTGTTGATTTTAGGATAAGTGATTATTCCTCCAAATTAGCATTGCAAATGTTATCTTTCTTTTTTAGAATGGCTGCATAATGCCTTATTTATTTACAATTATTTCCAGCAACGTTCGTCCTTCATCATCCTGAACATGGGCATGCTGTCATGCTTCCTATTATTTCATGTATCATTGATGGCACAGTGGAGTATGATAGGAGTATGCCCCCATTTGCTTCTTTCATTTCTTTGGTTTGCCCAAATGACGAGGTATAGAAACTCTTGAACGAATTAATCCGGTTAGTTCTAAATTCATTTTCATAATGTGTACAGAATTTTCTTCTGTCAAACTGCTTTGATGCTTCACTATTCAGGATTTCAAGCATCTTATTGCAGTTATTGACACCTCCTTAAGGTTTCTAAACTGCGAATAAAGCGTGCAATTTGCTTTGTAAGTCAAGTTGAGAGCTGACATTAATAATCCATTCCCAATCTACAGAACGAGTTCTCCGAACAGTGGGCTCTGGCGTGTGGGGAGATCTTACGAATTTTAACTCATTATAACCGTCCAATTTACAAGGTTGAACAACAGCATAGTGAAGCCGATAGAAGCAGCAGTGGTAGCCATGCAACAACGAGTAAATCTGCAGATGGAGGATCATCTTCAGCTTCTGTACAATACGAAAGGAAGACACTAAGGCCGTTGTCTCCCTGGATCACTGATATATTGCTTGCTGCACCTCTTGGTATTAGAAGTGATTACTTCCGCTGGTAAGTAAGCAGGTCCACTCTAAAAGGCTTGTGCTTTGCATTTTCAATGAAGATAACCATAGATCATTGGTAATTTTTCTCTGGAGAAGAAAATTATATTTCTAACACACTGAGCCACATGCTTTTATGGATTTAAAGAAGTCAATCTTCAGTTGTATCACATTTANGGCTTGTGCTTTGCATTTTCAATGAAGATAACCATAGATCATTGGTAATTTTTCTCTGGAGAAGAAAATTATATTTCTAACACACTGAGCCACATGCTTTTATGGATTTAAAGAAGTCAATCTTCAGTTGTATCACATTTAAATAGAATGAATGCAATCTTCATGCCAGCAGTACAAGTCTCAGGCCCTTAAACAATGAGTTCTTCGCTGTGGGAACAAGAAAGATGGCTTATCATAATAGTCACTGTTAACCTAGTGTATTCATCGATATTCATCATTGTAACTTAATAATACTCAACTGTTCTGACAAGCTTATATTCCTGGTTGCGTAGTTACAAATACCATTTCTGGCTCAATTGCTTCATTTTAGCTGGCTAGATAGAACCTTTGGCATGAGCAGAATGAACTTGAACATAACTGATAGTGTATTTGCTGCTGTTTTAATACAAAGGAGATTTGGATGCTTTCTTTATACAAATGATAATGGTAGAACATAATGCCCATTGATGGCATAGGTTCGTGAAGTTTGTTTATTTGGAGAAAGTAATTATGTAGGGCTACCAGGAATTCAGGAGTCAGGACCAGGTATGGTGTGTAGGACAAGTCTCCTACCTACTTTCTTACTTTTAAACCAAAAGAACTTAATATCTTTGAGGGTGTTGGAAAAGTTTGGGAATGAGCTTGGCTTTGTGGGAGATGGTCTTGGAATGGTATGTAGTTTGTAAGTCGAATGAATTAGTTATGTTGTTTTTCAGTTAAAAACAGTAAACTAAGCGTTCATTGTGGACAAATCTTGTTAAAAAAATGAATGAGAACGATGTGGGTAGAGAAATGTGAACTGTGGAGGGGAAAGGCCAGGTGATGGTTCAATTAAGGTATGGACACTAGAACATTTTTCTAACAGGAGCTGAAAGGATAAGAAGAGCCGTTTGCAAAGTCGCAGGCAGGTTCTGGCACTTCGTTGGGGATACGAATTGGATTGTGGAAATTACCTACTTTTGCTTTTCTTTTTTTTTCTTCGATAAGGAAGAACTGTCCCAAGCACTTGCTGTTCGACCTCATTACCACAACACAGTTTGTGGATGCGCGTATCCACCTACAAACCATGTGCATCAGGGAAGGCAGGTTCTTAGGATCTTGGGTTAGTAAAGTCTTCACGTTGAACTTGGGGTTAGGAGCATTTGCATGGCGTTTGGAACTTGGGCTTTTGGCGGTTCAATCTCTTTCAGCCCAATAACTCAAATTGCGTAAGACTGATGGCTTAGTGTCTAGAGAATTCAAACACATCTTCAAGTCCAGATTGTGGTTTTTTGTACGCTATGTGGATACATTTGGAAGTACAATTGGTGTAAGTGAGCTGGTGTTTGCTGCTCACAATACATTTTGAGACAAATGTCAAGATAGCCTAGGCACCCCTCTTCTTGTTTCTTATTTTCACAAAACCTCTGAACTACAATTCATATACTTGAAGTTTCTCTATGGCATGGAACAAATATAAACCTTAAGGAAGGGTAACAATAACATTGCTCATGAATAATTCTTTCGTTTTGACTTAGCACTATTTCATTCATTCCTGTAATGCAGCATGCTGCTGCAGACTTCCATTTGCATGATTGAAGTATATATGGTTGTTATATTCTGTCAATTATAGATAGCAGTCTTGGATACTGACTTTCATTAGGCAAGTGCTATGAGTCATGTAATTAATATAAGTGCAAATATCTGCTTGTTCTGTTACTTTTTTAATTAAATTGATTAGTTAGTTGGCATTATGTCTTCCTATTCCTGAAGTTCTTGATGTCTTTTGTCCATCAATAGGTGTGGAGGCGTTATGGGAAAATATGCAGCTGGAGAACTCAAGCCACCTTCAACTGGTAAACAATTTATTCTCTGAAAATATTTTTTGTGATTCAGACATTTGGTCAATGCAAGAAAGCAATGGCAGCTGCTTCTACATTCTAATCCATCAAACAATAATGTCTAGCTTCCAACAGTCATGTGATTTTAGTTTTGTTGCAAGATGAAAACCACTCGTAATTGTATTACAAAATGAAAACAGTTGTTGCTTTTTGCAGTTATTTTGTGAGTATATTTTCATACAGTACCAAATGAGTCTGATGTCAGAAAGGCTGTCCAAAAACTGAAATGTTTGTACATCCTTTTATGTCTTAAATAGGTAGCACAAATTCGTAATAAAACACTACGGATTATCCACGTAAAAAACAGATTCAGTTGCCTAAGCAATGGGCCTGTGTTCTGCAATTGTAAAACTCTTTGGCGTGGTTGAGAAGATCTTAAAATTTTCATGAACACGAAGTTCACCTGAAATGCTTCCACTGTATTTTTCTCATTCTTTCTTTTTACTCTNGTGTTCTGCAATTGTAAAACTCTTTGGCGTGGTTGAGAAGATCTTAAAATTTTCATGAAGACGAAGTTCACCTGAAATGCTTCCACTGTATTTTTCTCATTCTTTCTTTTTACTCTTTCTGTTTGAATTTCTTGGTGTGGTAGTTTTACTGTCATTCTGCTAATTAATAAATGTGATCTTACAAAATTCAGGTCAGGCTACTTCAGTCACTTATCAGGTCTGCCTGATCCAACTGGAGTTACGTATACTGTGCATCATAGCAAATAAAAGTAGAGGACAAAATCATTTGTTATCAATGGTTGTGGAGATATTTTTCTTCATGTTCGATTCAGATCTCCCTATTCTCCCAGCACAATACTACATGAATATAAAGACTCGATATAATAGTTGAACATGGATCTTTTGACAACGTTATTCGCTTCTTTATATGTACGAGCTTATATAGTTAGCTGTGCTTTTCTGCTTTCTTAAGATATGTTCTATGTATCATGTTTCTGATACGAAGCAATGTGAAATGTACATTTTAAGACAAGAATAACTTCAAGCAACTTTTCTTTTATCTTAGTTTCTTCTCGTGGTTCTGGAAAGCATCCGCAGCTCATGCCATCAACTCCAAGGTGGGCTGTTGCGAATGGTGCTGGTGTGATACTAAGTGTTTGTGATGAGGAAGTTGCTCGCTATGAGACTGCTACCTTAACAGCTGCTGCTGTTCCTGCACTTCTGCTTCCTCCTCCAACAACAGCCATGGATGAACACCTTGTTGCAGGGCTACCAGCTCTTGAGCCATATGCCCGCCTATTTCATCGGTAAGTTACTGGACCTCTCACTGCATTCTTCTGAAGCTAGTTCTGAATTTTATCTTCTTTCTGTCTAGGTATTACGCGATTGCTAGTCCAAGTGCCACCCAAAGACTTCTTCTTGGACTTCTAGAGGCACCACCATCATGGGCTCCCGATGCACTTGACGCTGCTGTACAACTTGTGGAGCTCCTTAGAGCGGCGGAAGATTATGCATCTGGCATGAGGGTAAGTCTAAAATTATATCCCAAACTACCTAGATAATGCTTTGCAAGTGATCAACTTTAGATCCAAGTATCTTTGCATTCATTATCCCTTCATCATTCCATTGTTAGTCCTCTGTAATCAAAACAGTGTGGTAAGAGTTTGAGACTGTAATGAAAATGTGAGATGACATAATTGAATTGGTTTGTAGTATTAAACTCTGAAACATTAAACTGGTAGAATTACTAATTCCATGTTATCAACTTTACACAGTTCTGTTTCCAATTCTGCTTTCAAAAGTTCATATAGAGACTAGGAAGATGTTGTCTGGACATCCTTTTCGATCAGCCATGGCCCTTAGTGCTTCCTTGTGTCTAGTGCATGTTGATCAAAACCGAGTCTCAATGTGGCTGCTTGAACGACAAGAACCCAGAATACTGATGAGCCACTTGTCTATAATGCTTGCCCTTGTGTATACCAGCTCAATTGCATCATTTGGTCAGCCATGGCCCTTAGTGCATTCCTTGTGTCTAGTGCATGTTGATCAAAACCGTGTCTCAAAGTGGCTGCTTGAACGGCAAGACCCCAGAATCCTGATGAGCCACTTGTCTATAATACTTGCCCTTGTGTGTACCAGCTCAATTGCATCACCTTTTAAGCTAGTTGTGATTTCCAAAATAGCCATTAGGCTCCTATCTAGTTGCTTGCAACTTTAGGGTAGAATGATTCTAGTATTACATTCTACCTAACATATGGGGAATTTTGGAAAACGTTTATTTCTCCAAGAACTACAAAAACAATGCCTTGTGGATGACTAACCTTTATATAACACTAAAGAAATCTTGGGAAGCAGCTGTATGGTTAGAATTTTGTTTACCTAATGCTTTCTAAATTGTTTTGACTTTAGTCATGTTTTAAACAAGTTGTGCCTATCAGTAAATGTTATGAATTGTGTTGATTGATAGTTTGTGTGTCTTGGCAAATAATTAATAGTTGGTAGCTGTAATTGATAGTTCTGGATGTTTGAAAAGTTTTATATGTGTGTTTGTGGGAGAATGTTTTTCTTGAATTATTGTATTGTTCAAGGAAATAAGGGTAACTCATTCACTCATTCATTCACAAATTTTCTCTCCTCTTGGTCCTTTTACTTTCCCAACAACTTAAATCTATGTGATTGAACAAGCACTTAACAAGATGTGACAAGTGAACATGTTGCAAGAAGAGATTCCTAACAAAAAAGTTACTTACAATATAAATATCAAGAGAAATATAGCTATGAACATCGAAGATATGGCATAAAAAAGTAAATATCTGCAAAATTACTTTCAATATTGTAGCTAATCTCTGGTTATATTTGATTTCCATCATGATTTGTTTTGGGCAAATAAATTCCCATCATGATATTTTAAGCTAATTCTGCAAACTTAGAAGCGCAAAGGAAGGATTGTGTCAATTGGACTCGGACGATTTTAAGTAATGGTTTATATTTTGTTGTTATTTTAGGCTATTTTTTGCCTAATATTATTAAATATGTTCATTTATTTTTTATTGATAAGATAACGGTATTTGTGCCAGTTTAGATATTATGTCGTCTTTAGCTGACTAGAGTCCTATCTCCTATGGGTTCCAATTGTTCACAATTAGGCTTATTGGTGTTAATGGATGTTTATAGAGGCGGAGCCAAAAATGTGTTCTTGGGTGGGCATACTTAACCAGCAAAATTTAATTTTTTTCTCCAATCAATAAAAGTATTGTGATACATGTTTTTATATCGTGTTGCATATTTAAAGATTCATTAAATACAAAAGGGTCAAACACCAATATACGTAGTCTATGCAAACAATACTCAATAAGAAGAGGCTAATTACAACCTTTTACAAAAAATGAGGCTAATTACTGCCATCTACAATGGACCCTGACAACTGATAACATTATTAATAATATATAAAAAAAAATCAATTTTAGGCTAAGTTTGTATCAATTTAAAAAAATTATAGCAATTTCAAATAATTATAAATAATATAAAATTGAGAGTTATCAAAAAAAAAAAAGGCTCAATCACTAGTTGCAACTTTTTAACATATTTTCTTATTTGTTTGAGTGAAAAATGTGTCCGATTATTTTTTTGCACAAGATTTAGTTGGTTCAAACTTATTAGAGTGGGTTCAATATTTTTGGTTTTTGGTCATGAGGGTGGGCCTAATTCTNATAATTATAAATAATATAAAATTGAGAGTTATCAAAAAAAAAAAAAAGGCTCAATCACTAGTTGCAACTTTTTAACATATTTTCTTATTTGTTTGAGTGAAAAATGTGTCCGATTATTTTTTTGCACAAGATTTAGTTGGTTCAAACTTATTAGAGTGGGTTCAATATTTTTGGTTTTTGGTCATGAGGGTGGGCCTAATTCTAACTACCCAATAAAAAATCATAAATATACAAGGTAAAATTTTTAATTTTTTTTTCAGGGTGGGCATGCGCCCCTCGTCTCTATGTCCCTCCGTCCTTGGTTACATGCCTTTCAGTCACCAGCTAAGAAGGTCCCATCATCAATTCATTGTATGTTGTTTCTGAACTATGGGTATCTGGAAAGATACATACCAAAATGCAACATCACTTTATTATTATTACAAAGGACTAAGTAGCAACGGGAATGGTTTTCATTCACACCAATAACCATACACTCAATGCAGACAAACTTGAAGGTTGTTGGGGTTAAGAATAACTCATTTCTAAAGTTCTTCTAGCCATATTTTTACTAGCATGGAGAAAGACACAATACAATTAAAAGTTCTAGGGCCAGACTATGATTTATGTTATCTTTGGAATAGTTGATACTGTGTTGAAATTTAAAAGTAAATGATTTTTAGTTAAACTATTTTGGATCAAGAGTTATGATTCAAAAAGGTCAGTATAACTCTACATGGCCAGATTTTGAAACAAAAATTATGCAATTGATCCTAAAAAAGTTATGATCAATATGTAATAATTTCATTGTAAAATAAATTTTACCAGTTTAAATCGTTACCTTAAATTGTGTTTTTTTATTCAATAAGATACAAAAATAAATTACGAACTATATCTATATAATAAAATACAATATAAGTTATTTTTATTACTCAAATAATAAAAGTTATTTTTTTGTTGCTAAAGAAGATCAAAGTTGAGATATAATTAAATTCCCCCACCGGTGTGTGCATGTTTTGTTTTCTGGATGTTTTCAAAAATATTCTTTTTGATGTTTCTATATTTTGTCCTTTTTAAAATGGAGCAGTATAAAAAAAAACAAAAACATTCATCAAACGCCTTTTTATTTTTATTTTTGCCATAAAATGAAAACAAAAACAAACAAAATTAAAAATAAAAACTTCTCATTACCAAATGACACCTTAGTTATTAAACCTAAAAACCACGTTCATCCCTTTCAAATGCATTCTGAGGCCATGCTTAATTGAGCATGATTTTGGAGGCCCTACTCACCCAACCTCGGTCGTTACAAGCAGGGGCGGAGCCAGAAACGNATAAAAACTTCTCATTACCAAATGACACCTTAGTTATTAAACCTAAAAACCACATTCATCCCTTTCAAATGCATTCTGAGGCCATGCTTAATTGAGCATGATTCTGGAGGCCCTACTCACCCAACCTCGGTCGTTACAAGCAGGGGCGGAGCCAGAAACGTATTCTTGATTGGGCACATGTAACTAGCAAAATTTAATTTTTTTTCTTCAATCAATAGAAGTATTGTGGTACGTTGTTTCTTTTTTTTTTACATCGTATTGCATATTTAACGATTCATTAAATACAAAAGGGTCAAACAACAATATATATAGTCTATACAAACTATACTCAATAAAAAGAGACTAATTAGAACCTTTTACAAAAAATGAGATTAATTATGGCCATGTTCAATGGACTCTGACAACTGACAACTGACAACGTTATATAGAGAAGTAATTAAATTAATAGTAATCAATTTCAGGCTAAGTTTGCTTCAATTTAAAAAAATTATAGCTATTTCAAACAATTATGAATAATATAAGAATGAGAGTTATAAAAAAAAAATAGGCTTAATAATTAGTTGCAACTTTTTAACATATTTTCACATTTCTTTGAGTGAAAAATGTGGCCGATTATTTTTTTGCATAAGATTTGATTGGTTCAAACTTATTAGAGTGGGTTCAATATTTTTGGTTTTTGGTCACGAGGGTGGGCCTAATTCCAACCACCCAATAAAAAACCATGAATAAAAATTTTAATTTTTTTTTTTAGGGTGGGCATGGTACCTATGTCCCTCCGCCCTTGGGTGTTTATGTGTTCTTTGGTAGGTTTGGCTTTGCCTCAACAATCATAGTTTGCTACATTTTTACTCGGTAGAATTAGGGCAGAACCACCGACCTATTTATAGTGAGGTCTCTGAAACATTCGTCTTCTTGTTTCAGTTTCAGGTCCATTCAGCTCTTTGGTTCTTTGTTTTTCTATATTTGAATCCTCACACCCATGGCTAATTCTGTTCCTACCTACTAAGCCTTTATTTAGCAACATATGTGCCCTAATTCTGGCAACTGATCACATGCAAAAATGGGACCCTACTTTTAATCTGTACTTTGCCCTTCGTAAGGAGAAGATGTACGTCAATTTGTTTGAGTGTGGTCTTAAATTGCATGAGGTCTGCCTTCAAAACATAATGTGTGTCTATCTTGAATCTCAAATAAAAGAATGACAATTATACTGGAAATATATAGAGGTTGCAAAAGTGAGAAGAAAAGAATGAGAAGAATGAGAAGCAGCTATTAAGTTGGTTTGGTGTCGATTCCTCTACATCATTTCAAAAAGAGAAAAAAAAAACATGTTGAAGCATAAAAGTGGTGGTAATCATAGGCCTTTGTTGCACGTGCACATGACCATATTGTCGAACACAGCTCTCTCTCTCTCTCTCTCTCCACCTCTGCGTGTGTGTGTTGTCCTCAATAACTCATAATGAAATATTTACCTTGTACCTCAAAACCATTCTATTTTGCATCGCCATTATCTAGAAATGTGATATGTTATGTGTACAATAATCTCCTACTTAAGGCAAATTGATGTACCAGGTTGGTTATACACTTCTATTACCGTGGAATGATTTGCACATCTTACCTATTTATGCAGGCTGTGACATACAGTAAAGAACCCCAATTATGCTAAATGTGAACAAAGCTGCTAGTTATATTTATTTTTTTAATTAATGGTGTTATAATACTGATAAATGTTGAGTAGCTATTCTCATGCAATTTTTGTGGAATGTTATAATTCATTAAAATTTCCAGTAGGACAAAATAACATCTTTTTTGCTGAGGAATTCAAAGTTTGAATAGAGATTGTTGCTGTTGAGTGTATCAACAAGCTGGATTTCGCAATATGCATAATTATTGTTCATTTTTTTGGAGTGTTGTACAACTTAANCAGTAGGACAAAATAACATCTTTTTTGCTGAGGAATTCAAAGTTTGAATAGAGATTGTTGCTGTTGAGTGTATCAACAAGCCGGATTTCGCAATATGCATAATTATTGTTCATTTTTTTGGAGTGTTGTACAACTTAATTGATTTGACTCACCATATCCAATGCCTAATTGTTTTATCCATTTGAATAGCTTCCAAGGAACTGGATGCATCTACATTTTTTGCGTGCAATTGGGACTGCAATGTCCATGAGAGCAGGCATTGTTGCAGATGCTGCAGCTGCTCTACTCTTTCGCATACTCTCACAGCCTGCTTTGCTTTTCCCCCCACTTAGACAAGTTGAAGGAGTTGAAGTTCAACATGAACCTTTGGGGCATTACATTTCATGCTACAAGAAGCAGGTACTTGGCATCAGCAGTCATCATTTGAATGTTATTCCTTGAGTCGGATGTGTCAGTTGCTAAAAAATATATCCTTTGGTCATGTGTTTGGTTTTTAGTTCCTATCTGTAAAGTAATTGTTTATTGAAGCCAATGTTCACCAGTAAAATATTGTTTCTCAGAGAGAAATGCCTGCGATTGAAGCCACAATAGAAGCTACTGCCCAAGGCATTGCATCAATGCTTTGTGCACATGGCCCAGAGGTTGAATGGAGAATATGTACCATATGGGAAGCTGCTTATGGCCTGATTCCTCTAAGTTCTTCTGCCGTTGATCTCCCTGATATCATCGTCGCAACCCCCTTGCAACCTCCCAATTTGTCATGGAACCTGTACATACCTCTCCTTAAAGTTTTGGAATATCTTCCTCGTGGAAGTCCATCTGAAGCCTGCCTCATGAAAATATTTGTTGCTACTGTTGAAGCCATTCTCCAGAGAACCTTTCCACCTGAGTCCACCAGAGAACAAATTAGAAAAACAAGATATACATATGGGTCTGCCTCCAAAAACATTGCTGTGGCAGAGCTTCGCACAATGGTCCACTCTCTATTCTTGGAATCATGTGCCTCAGTAGAGCTTGCCTCTCGCCTACTTTTTGTTGTGTTAACTGTGTGTGTCAGTCATGAAGCACAGCTCATTGGGAGCAAGAGACCAAGAGGTGAAGATAGTTATCCTCCTGACGAAGTGACTGAAGACTTGCAAGCAGTCTCTGGAGATCAGAGAGGAATGGGAACTAAAAAAATGAAAAAACAGGGACCTGTGGCAGCATTTGATTCTTATGTACTTGCTGCAATTTGTGCTCTTGCCTGCGAACTGCAGCTCTTCCCTTTGATTTCCAGAGCAGGTTCCAAAGATATACAGGATGTAGCCAAATCTGCAAAAGTCAATGAATCATCCAGAGAGTTTCGAAATAGTATTGACTCTGCAGTTTGTCATACTCACAGGATATTAGCAATTTTAGAAGCACTGTTTTCTTTGAAGCCATCATCTGTTGGCACCTCATGGAGTTACAGTTCAAACGAGATAGTTGCTGCAGCTATGGTTGCAGCTCATATTTCTGACCTGTTCAGACGGTCAAAAGCTTGTATGCGTGCTCTCTGTGTCTTGATACGATGCAAGTGGGACAATGAAATTCACTCCAGAGCTTCTTCACTGTACAATCTCATTGATATCCATAGTAAAGTTGTTGCGTCCATTGTCAACAAGGTAGAACCACTAGAAGCACACCTTATCCATGCGCCAGTTTGGAAGGATACCCTTGCATCTCATCATGTCAGAAAACAACAAAAATGTGGAAACTCTAGCAGCTTTGAATCAGGGCAGTCATCAGCCCTGCAGGGTGAAGTTTCTGCCAATCCAAGCTCTTTAACTAAGAGTGAGAAATCTTCCCGGTCTTGTGAGGTGACTGGAAGAACAGAGGGTAAAGGAGTAGCATGCTTCCCATTAGATGCTTCAGATTTGGCCAATTTTCTCACAATGGACCGGCATATAGGATTTAATTGCAGTGCACAGGTCCTTCTGAGGTCAGTTCTGGCTGAGAAACAGGAATTATGTTTCTCCGTTGTCTCATTGCTTTGGCACAAGTTGATTGCATCACCTGAAACACAACCTAGTGCAGAAAGCACTTCTGCCCAGCAAGGATGGAGGCAGGTAATTAGTCATGCTTAACCTAAAGGCACATCCAATATAATAGTAAGTCTCTTAAATCTAATGAGCGAGGAAGACTGTTTGCTTTCCTTTTGCCCGGTGAAACTCTAGGGTTTTCTTTGCCTGGGGCTCTGGTTTTCTTGCTTAGTTCTGCTATCTCTATGTTAATTTGTGTTGTTTAGTATAATACTAATTGCTGATTGCCTCTTAAATAGTATTAAGTAGTTGGGCATTTGTTAGAGGTATACTGTCTGCTAAGTCAAGTAATTCACTTCAAACAAATTTGTTGACCTCTTTTGTCTTATCTAACAATGAGGTCGAGGTTTACGAAGCAAATCCTCAAAATGAATTTTAGATGTAGGAGGCCATGAATCCTCTTCCCCCCCCAACAACAACAAAAAAAAAAAAAATCATTCTATGGAGTGCTTTTGTGTAGAAACTATTTTGCTTCACATCTTGTACTATGGTCTTAAGAGTTGATGCATAGTTTAAGGAAAGGCGTATAAAATGATATCTGAGGTTTTTAGGCCTGAATCAAGTAAAAATGCACTCTTTTTTCTGATTTTCTTTGCAATAATAGGTTATGCCTTGTGTTGTTAGAAGCAAACACTATTTGATGATTTTTAATGGCAAGAAAACTATACATTCATTGACGTTGGGGGCGCTCACATTACGTTTTCTGAATAGCTCTACATTGTATTTATAATTGACCATATTGTTGTGATTATTTTATATGGCATTATAGTGATTGGAGTTTTCCGATACTTGAGAGTACAATTCTTTATACCTTAGAACCACATACATATAATTTGCACATTTTTGGACCGAAAAAAGTCATTTAAGGCCAAGTTTTTGCATGAATTGTTCATTATATCTTTGGTTGTTTTAAAAATAATGTTCCTTCGATTCCAAATTACAATCAATATTTTCTCGATACATTCCTACTTTTCTTGTTTTGATGTATCCTAATATATACAAATTTTATTAGTTATCTTCAAAACATGAGTGAGGTTGTCGATGATCAAGATTATCTCCAAGGCTAAGACCCTTGTGTATGAAAAGAAGTTAAAAAAAAAAACAAAGGCTACCTTGGAAGCACCTTAGTTGCCAAATGCCTTTCCGAGGAAACCTACTGGCACCCTTGTTTACATTCCTTGTAGATTGATCCCACCTTCAACTTTCTATTTGAAAATTAGACAACCTCCTTATAACTATTTGATGGTGGGGGTGAATTATCTGTAAACAGAATACCACAATAAATTATAACTGGAAAGTGTAGCAATATTACCCAGAATGGTATTCGAGTGGATGGAGATCTTGTGACAAGTAATTTGCATTACTCAACCTAGAACTGCTAGAGGTGTAAGATCTATCTTGGAGTAGAAGTTTCCATTGACTGATCACAGGTGTGCAAAGATCTTGTCGTGCTCTGCTTCTTAAGTCTCATTGTTTGCTTCCTATTTTACAAGCCTGTACCTTTATGCAAATGTATACATACATAGATGTAATTACACCTAATGCAACCATTTTAATGTCAGCTGACAATGTATATAAACTAGCTGCAGAAGATACACTGGTTTTTAAACTTGGTCCAAATGGATTTTGTTGACCATCTTTTTTAACTGCGTACAGGTGGTTGATGCACTATGCAATGTGGTATCAGCATCTCCAACAAAAGCCGCAACAGCTGTTGTTCTTCAGGTCCAGATTCTGTTCCACTTGAATTATTACCATTGAACTTTTCTTTTTGGGCGACTGACCTAAATGTTTCCCATTCCTGATAAATGGACACTTGAAGAATTGAATTGTTGAAACTACCTTTTCTCTATTCAAAGAAGGACTAGACTTAATTGTTTCATTGTATTGTCTGAACTTTGGTGATTTTCCATACAACACCATCCTGTTATTACGAAGCTGCAACCTTTTTAGGGAAAAAAAAGAGGAAAGAGGAGGGGGGGGGGGTAAATTAAATAAGTTTATGAGCATGTTTTATTGTTCTCTTTGATGGGAACTTCCAATGGGACATATCTGGCTTTAGATTCAAAGGGGGTTGAGGGAGGGGGGACATTAATTACCTTGGGGTTCCTTCCCAAAATTCTATAAATCAAAAAAATTAAATGGAATTTTGAGAGACTTTTTTTTTTGGTTTTTTTTTTTTTTTTTT